GATGGGGCAGTGAACCCGTAGTCCGGCTGATGCCAGTTGTTGAGATGCGGTGTGGTATGGCACGGGGTGTTGTAGAGAGTGTCGGGCACAGATGTCATGGGGTTCTGTAATGCTTGCCGCACAATATGACGATCCTCCCTTGGTGTGGTCTGTCTTGGGCGACAGGAACCTTCATGATGTGTGTGGGTGTCCTCACATGCCCATTGGTCCAACATCAGGCGACTGTGACATCTGCATGCCCCACATGCTGGGCAATTGCACAATACGACCATCCAGCCTCAAGCAAATCCACAATGCGACCCCATCAAACTCCATTATGTGCTGGTAATGCTGTTTAATGCGTCTACGAGGCATCCTCTATGTCTGGTGATTAGAGGTGCCAGCTCCTTGCAAATCAGAACATTTCCATACCAGTCGTTGGTCTGCACATGTACCAAATTACATCCAGGTCGGACCATTACTTCTGGGTGCTTCATTTTTTTGTCATTGAGTGTACTTACGTATGCTTTTTAGCTATTTACGGTATTGTTCTTGCCATGATCGAAAAGCTCTTGCTCCAGCAGTACTAACACTTGTACCTGGGCATTCATTTACATTTTTAGTTATTTAGCAGACACTTTTATCTAAAGTGACATATAATTGAGTGACATAAAATGATAGCAATAATTATTGCAATATAATTTTCCTCGATACAAGTATAAAAATTGCTCAGTAAAAATGTGTTATGATTTAAGACCCAACTTGTCATCGGCGACAAGTTTTGCATCACAATGAAGTGGCGTCACTTTCTGTGACTGCTTGTCTGGACTGGCAATGGACCACAAGTACAAACACAACCATAAAAACACCCAAATTGGTTCAAAACAGGACACCGCGCAAAGTAATATTGAATTATTATTGTAAATAATGTTAAATGAATCATATCACAATAATTATCCATATCAATATGAAAAAAATATTAAATATTTTGCCATAACACTGAGCCCTACAATTGGTTTGGGTCTGCCAATCCCAGGGGCAATTGAGGTAAAGGTTCTTGTTCAAAGGCCCACCAATGAAATCACTCTACCGACCTCAGGAATCTGACACCCGTCCAATCACAGGCACAGCATCCCAACCCATTAAGCCACCCGCACATCAAAGGGCGGAGTAGCTACACCTGTGCCCGGTCGCCTCTTTGCCGGCCCGTATGCGTGTGATATGCCGTCTGCTTAAATAAATGGGAACGTAAGGATGCTTCTGCCTGCCTCGGGGCGAGTGACACTCTGCCCCCTGTTCCAGGCCAGCCTGGCGGTGGGGGTTCTGCTGGCAGTGATGGGCTCCTTGGCGCTGGGTGCCGGCCTGCTCCTGCCCCCACGCATCGAGGGTTTCGGGGACGGCGAGCTGCTGCTGGTGGACGAGCGCGCCGTCGGACACAACGGGGTCCTGCTGGCCTGCCAGCTGGCGGGGGGGGTTCTGCTGGGGCTTGGCGTTGGCGTGCTCCTGGGCTGTGTCCTGACGCGGCGTGCTGGCCAGCCCAGGGACGACGGCAGGGGGCTCTGTGCCGGCAAGCCGCAGGGAGCCAATGTATCCCCCATCCACTCCATGCTGCCCTCCAGCCTGTCCCAGACGTTTAGCACGCAGCCCAAAGCAGGCCCCTGAGCAGCCGGGGCAGAAGGGCTCAGCCTCCATCTGCATACAGTATGTCACCTGCACATGTCCCATCTGTCCATTCTTTAGTCCAAACGTCAAGGAGCACCTTTATCTACAGCATTATAAGTAAGTTGATCTGAAAGGACGTGGCTTTTCATTCAGGGATTCTTAAAGTGAAATATGTACAGTTGTGTCCTAGTGAAAATGCGCTTTTTTTGCACATGCCTTGTTTTTAATAAAAACGCAAGTCTGAATACTGTGCAGTTCCATCAGAATCTGTTATAGTCCATAGCTGAAGAACACTGCAAGGAACCATGGGCAGCAGAAAGCAGTGCAATGCAGCACAGGGTGACACAGAGCAGCACAGGGGACCACAGGTAGCATACAGCGGTCACGAAACGAGGCGGTTCAGGCGCGGGAGTGAGGCATGGTGCAGGCACAAATGGTGAACGACCCACTTGCGGTTCAAAGGACAAACAGGGCTTATTAACTGAACTAAAAAACACAAGAAAACACTAACAAAACAAAGGACCTTGATGGGTCAAAAGTAAATGGGGATAAACAAGACTAATTACAAACGGGGCATGTAAGCAGAACATACCTGTACATCTAACACCAAACATTAATAATTGCAATCTGCAGAACATTCAAAATCAACAAAGCACTGGGGAACTAAACTGAGGAAGGGACTTAAATACTGAAACTAAACTGGGTAAGAAGACTAACACAGGGCAGGGGAGACTAATTAACAAAGACTGGGAAAACAGGCCAAAGATGAAACTAATAATTAAATCAAAGGACCGGGAGGGGGAAACTAAGACTGACAGAATCAAGGAAACAGAATCCAACACGGGGGAATGAGAAAGACAGGTAAAACACAAGCAGAGCACAAAGCCAGAAACCAAAAACAGAAAACAAACCACAGTAACTAGAAAATCTGATACCAATGAAAAACTGGGGAACAATACTAAAACAGAGGGGGTGGGATTCAATCACGAGACAGAGGGGTTCATAGACAACCACATGCTCAAACAGTTGAGCTATGCAGCCAACAGGGAGTGGGTGAAAACACAAAGACTGGCAACAGGAGCTGACCCTGATAAGAGCAGCACAGGGTAGCGCAGGACAGCACAGGGCATCAGAGATAGCGAAGGGCAGCAGGGGGCACAAGGCTGGAGTACAGCCTGAATGAGATGCCAGTCCATCGCGGGGCATGTCCGTACAAAATGGGTAATTCAGAGACATCAAACAGCCTTTGGATCATGTGAGGACACCAGCATACCCAGAGGGGTCTGACATGACACAGGCAGAGCATGCAAACTGCCCACATGGAACAGAGGTCAAAGTCAAGCCCCCAACCCTGGAGGTGTGAGGCAAGAGCGCTGCCCCGCTGAGCCGCCGTGCCACTTGTTAAGGGAACGAGAAGAACCGCTGTGCAGCCCTTCTGATGAGGAGTTTATTTTTAGACGAGGTCATTTTTAAAGACTGCTCTCCAGGGCGCACGCTGAAAAGCAGAGACCTGTTTTCTCACCAGGAAGGCTGCTGGAAATGGCGGCTTGACATTGCGTCACACAAAGGAGCATGATTTCCCATTCAAGCTTTAACAGATTTTTTAAATTACTTTTTCAAAGTTGATGACCATTTAGAGCAACCTACATCATTACAGGGTTCGCAAAATAATGGAAACAGTGAGCAATGTATTAATATCAAGGATCAGATCAGCAGCAGGGCCATCCATTGCCTTCATAACAGCTTCAGTCCTTGGAATGCTGTGATACAGCTCCTGAGTAGTGTGTGGTGGGGTACCAGCACATTCTTCAAGAAGCAAAGCCTCCAGCTTTCTGAGCGATAGAGAAGGGTGAAATCTGCTAAATTTCCAGAATGATGTTCGGATCTGGCGAATGGGGAGGCTGTGGCAGGTGTTTGCCTTCATCCTGGTGTTTACACCATCACTGGTGATTTTGTGTACAGGGGCTTTAACATCTTAGAATATGGGAGCAATATGAGGGAAGAGTGGCTGCACCTCTGAATGCACCTGGTCTTAAAAAGTGGCCTCATGTTCTCTGGCCATCATATGACCACTCAGGGCAATCAGCCGGCCTAATGACTCTCACTGTCAGCTGACACCAGCAAGCTGTTTGCTACCTTTGACTTCCTCCAAGCCTGGACCCAGATGATTCCTCATACAATATCACTTCTTTCCAGTGCTCAGAGGTCCAGGTTTTTCAGTCTGTGTGTGTTGGTCTTTGGTATAAGCAATTTCTGGACTACAATCCGGGTGGACGTTCCTGCCTTCTGTGGCTCTGCATGCACAGTCTTTGTTGAGACTGGGTCACAAGGCACCGATTCAGCTCTGTAGTAATTTTTGAGGCTGTGTTTGGCAGCATGTTTACCGTACTCCTGTCCAGACAGAAATACAGGAACCTCTGCCCCCACACCAGCAGCAGTGTGGCATGACCTGCACACCCCCAACTTCATAGTTATTTATGTATATACAGTGCCAGTCAAACATTTGGACACACCGACCCATAGAAAGGTTTATTTGTACCATTCTTTACATTTTAGACTAAATATAAAGGCATCCACACTATAGAATGACACATATGGAATTATGCACTGACCAAAAAAGTATCAAACAAAAAGATAATAATAATTGGGGGGGCTCCGTGTGCCTCTGCTGTTGGGGCTCAGATGGTTGCTGGTTCAAATGCCGTAGTTGGCAGAGTGATGGCATCACTGGGCCCCTGATCAAGGCCCTTAACCCCATTTGCTCCAGGGACTGGCTGACCATGCTCTCCTCTACACCAGTTTCATGAGGTGGTTTCCTGGAATGCTTTTCCAGCTGTCCTGAAGGAGGACCCACATACAGTATATGTTGAACAGTCACTGGTCGCTTTTCCTTCACCCTCTGGTCAAACTGCACCAAAACCAGTTCACTCTCCTTTGTAGGAGGCTTGGCATGTCCAAACTTTTGACTGGCACTATGTCAACACAAGGAAGAAATTATTGTGCATTTTAGCCATTATATTGTGAATGAAGTACACATTTGCAGTATAAAGGTTAAAATGCATGTCAGTTTCTTGTCATAGCCGAAATACTATGACTGCCCTCACATGAAGTGAATAATGTTGAGTATTTCATAAAAACGGGATGGTCATAATATTTATATTTATCACACAATATATGTATTGTACAGCTGTTTCCAGCACTTCAGTACTCAGATTAGATACCAAACTGCATTTTTTTGTCTGAGTTCTTGTTGGCATATGAAAATTAAGTTGAATCTAATCTAATTTAATCTAACTAGCCTGTTAAATATTCATCTATCCCTGTCACTGGCAAGCACTATTCCTCTATGCCAGAGCAGTTTGTCATATGCTTGATTAGCAGATGCTGTTGTGCGTTTTTGCAACTGTTCCTCTTTACACATTAAATAATTTGTCAGTTTTTTGGCCTCTTTTGAAATTCGGTTAGATGTTTCATGTTTCTTTGAAAACTCACATACCAAAGTGCTGACACATATTACTAATTAGCACTGAACAAAATATGACTCACACTTGCTGCTCCATTTGTAACTGATTTATAGTCTGAGCCACAAAGTTAATATCTCTTTTCTTGTGGTATTTCTATTATTTGTGCAAACCTTCTGTGTGTGTGTGTGGGGGGGGTGTATATATTACATTGTGGGAAACAAAACAAATGTCCCCACAATGTGATAAATATCTGTTTTTTTGACATTATGGGGACCATTTTTCAAGTCCCCACAATGATCTGTGAATGCAATAAAAAAAAACTAAAAATGCCAAAAGCCTCATATTTAGTTTGGTTACCTATGGTTAGGGTTAGGGCTGGGTAGGTGTTAAGGTCATCATGTTGGGATTAGAGTTTTATCTATAGAAATGAATGGAGAGTCTCCACAAAGATATAATTACAAACCTGTGTGTGTGTGTGTGTGTGTGAATGAGCGGTCCCCATAAAGATATGTTTACCCTACATGTACGTGCGTGTGTGTGTGTGTGTGGACATATTACATTTATTAATTTAACAGAAGCTTTTATCCAAAACGATGTACAATGGAAACAGGAGGGTCAACCAGTCCTGGGGCATCTGAGGTAAAGGGCGGCCCCCAACGGTGACATCACTCGTGACATTTTAACTGGTCATTTTAGGAAAAATGTTAAGGAGTTTGGAAACCTACCTAAACACACAAGTGAAGGAAATATTAGTACAATTACTGCATCACTGGCTCATGTCTTAATAAAACAACATTATAAGTTTCATTTAGGTGTGCTTTCTGTGTTCCTTGTAGTTTATTTTTATTTTTTTGGCTTTTAGATTTGATTCACAAAACTGCAGTTGTGTTGTCTGGCCAAAAGGAGACAGCAGAGAGTCATTTTCAGGAAAAGAAGCAGGTAATCTTTCAGATTTGGACATTTTTCCATTGAATTGCACCAGAAGCCTTTGCAGTGCCAGTTGTGCAGGGGGACTGGTATGATTTTTACCCGTATCAGAGATGTCTGAGTTCTGGAATGTCCCTGGAAGGGGTTCTCAAGGTCCCATGGGAAACGATTTATAGATAAACTCTGAGAGGAACACCTCCCTACCTCATTTATAAAAGGAAGCTTCAAGCCAGGTGACAAACGAGTGTGAGCTTTCAACAATGACTGGGCTTCCTTAAATATATCCAGTAAATCATATTTTAAATAATTTATATTACAGTTATTACCCAGGTGACCTGTACTGGATAATTCTTCTAATTCTTTTTATCCATCCCTCAAGAGGAAGACACCAGATTACTGTTGTAGACAGCAGCACAATATAGCCAGATATGCAAAACACCAAATACGTTTTACTTAAAAATAAAACACTTTGTTTATATCTGAAAATCCAAGGCATATCCAAGGCTAATGTATTTGTTTATTGGAGTAATCACATACTGTACCAGTTACGTCATTACAATTCATTTCATGTCCCGCCAGAAGACAAAATGTCCCTTTTCTGTGCTCAGTAGTGCATTTTAAATAAATGAATGGCAAATATTATGTTCACCTTGCTAAGGACATAGAGCAGGGCAGATATAGCTACTGCACACACTGAACTTCAGCATGTGTTGTGAAAACAGACATCAGATCCTGGGCGAGGTACAGAACAGTCTGTCATTAAAGCCTTGATCAAAAAGAGCTTTGCTGGTGCCTTCTACCTTAAAACACCATAGGTGTCTAAATTGGCAGTATTTACAAACAAAAGCATACAT